AAATGACAGAAGTGCATTTTAACCAACTCTGCTGCTCTTTGGACTAAGTCCTTTCACATCAACATGTGTGTACAAAACAGCTGCGAAGGTCAGCCTTAAAGAGACCTAGTGAACTCAGATTGGAAACTGTCTGCTTCTTGTAATGTGAGTTTTAAGATACTATATTCTTTCCACAACAAATCCTATTATTTCCTTGTATGCAGCCCATCACTTATGAAGGCTACAGTTATGGTACTGAAATCCACCAAAGTATATCTGAACAAGATATTTTTCTTGCAGCTAATAGAACAAATCTGTTTGTCTGTTCCTACAGTTCTGATGTTTGAAATGAAAATAAAATGAAACAGCAAACTTCTCCGTGAAACTGCAGCAAAACTTTACTTCTAATAGAATCCCAAGAAGAATATTTTCATTTGGCTATTTTGCTTACACCAGTTGACACCAGATCTTGTTCAAACATGACCAGACACAGTAAAAAAAGATGGCCCCAACAGCAAGTTCAGAAGTTTGGACAACTCCCAATATTTTGTTGAATCAAAACTAAAAGCCACATGCGAGACCTGAACGGTTGTTCTGGGGAATGCCTTGTATTCACTCTCCTCTTGTTGGACGAAAACATTCCACCTGCTGCAGGAAATAAGCTGTTCATATTCTTCACTGTAATTGCTTCTTATCTGAAAGCCCCCATCATTTCGATTTTAGGCACCTTTTCTTGTGGTGTACTTCGTTAATGCTTGAATAATTCCATTAATTTTACGGAATCATTTCGAATTTAAGCCAATGAGTTTGGCCAATTTCATCCTTCAATCCACAGAAAGTTTCAAGTTGTACATGCATGATCGGAATGATTTATAATTCAGTATTTAAAGACCCTGAGAGCAGAAAAAAGTCCTGAGATATACGGTATTTTTTTGGTACAAAGGAAGATAACCAGGAGCAAGAGAGACAATGGTATAGTCAGGGAAGGGTCATGACAAAAGGAATTATTCTGAGAGAGATCTCGATGGTGAACTCCTTGCACTAACTACATTGACACTGTAACCCTAGCTGCTGCTGCTAAAGTGCAGGGCTTGTATTATTTCAGAAAATCTGTGGACTATGTGCATGGAAATATGGTAATCAGAACTGCCCTGGCTCCGCACATGAGCATCACAGCTGCAGAAGTCTCTGCCAACTGTGCAAACACTCATTAGGCTGACATCACAGGCGAATATTTACTCTCTTGGGGAAAAAGTGGGGAAAGAGATAAAATACAACGCTTAACCTATTGACTTTATGAACTATTCCAACTGAAAAGTTATGAGTAAATTACACAAGTGTCAGTACGATACTAACATTCTTTTAAGACTCAAATTAGGGTAGGGTTTTATAAACTCTGCAGATGTGAGTATTCTAACTTCAGTCAATATTACTTGAAATGTCTACCTCATCCATACGTCTCCTTTAAAGCAGTGGCAGAAGTTATGCTTCCCTAATAACTAGAGGCTGATCATGGAAAGTACATGGGGAAATGCCACCATTTAAACAAGAAAAACAAACATTAATCAATCAACCAAACATTATGCCCAAATTTTGTGGACTCTCTACATTGTCAACTTACGTTATCTGCAATGATCAACTTAGAGAAGGTTCTATTTTCACAAAAAAGGAAGAATATTTGTGTGCAGACACACAGTTCCTCAGATTTCAGTCAAGCCCTAGCAGGAACAAAATCTTATGTATACTAGCATTCACAAGCACTGAGGTAGGAAAGAGGAAGGCTTGGGAAGGAATTGTATTCTATTCTATTCTTTTAAACGATAACTGATTGTATTTGTACTAATAGTGATGGAGCTCAGAGAAATAATTTATAAATTTCATTTCTGTTTCCCAAAAATATCCACCAAAAGGATGAATAACAATAAACACCAAACTCGCTGCCATTATGCTTTGCAGCATGACTGCTTTGCTCTGTCCATGTAAGTTATTTAAGTGAGAAAGGGATCTGATTTACACTCTCTTGCCAGGATATCGCAAACATGTCTGACCAGAAGTGCATGAGGTCTGTACATTTTAGCACTTTATAGGCAAATACAATTAAAGCCAACTCAGAAAGGTGCATCAGTTCACCCCTGTGCTCGAATTTCTATGGCGCAGCTCTGCAATAACAAGAATGTGGCTTTAGAAGCCTCTAACTGAAAGACCCTGCACACTGCAAATCAAATTGGATTTGTGAAATGGATGTTTTATGTCCTGCCATGCCAATCTCACTTCAGAATGAGTCAGGACTATCCAGTTGCAGTGACAGACCGACTGTGCTAGCTCTTCAGACAGGTATATGTAGATTATGAAGTTCATGCTGTTCAATTGCTAAGCCTCTAATCAGTAGCTTATTAGACTGTATTTTTCAGAATAAAACCCAGTGATTTTGCAGTAAGATTTAACTGCTGGTAACTTAGATTTTAAGTTTGGCATATGGATTTAGGGACATTAAATGCTGGTGGAAAAAAGCAATTAAAAGAGAAACTATTATAAATAAGTAGGTATTGATTCCATTATCTACCTGCTTTGAGATGTGTGTGCTCATAAACGTTCAGTCTTAAGATACAATCAAGAAATATCAGACTTTGCACAGCAAATATTACATGGTGCATAAAAATCCTGCTGCAGTTCTGCATTCTAAAACTAGCAAAAGACAAACAGGCAATTTATAAGATCCCACATTTGTATAACTGACTAAATTAACGAAAGGAATTAAGCTAGATAGTAAATAAGCATAACTTGATAATTGATTTACTAAGTGGCAGTTTAAGTTTTACAGTAATTTATTCTGGCACTAGAGAACGAGTGCAAAAATCCATCATGCTACTCAATACTTAAATCCTGTCTATTATTAAAGACTAAGGAATATTCTCTTCACCAAAGTACACGTTGACATGCAAATCCTCAGCCACAATAATTCACTCAGCAGCTCACAACAAATACAAATAGAAAAGGACTCAAAAGCCCACAGGTGGCAGTGCAGCAGGTCAGGGACTGCTTCCTGTCAAGGAACATAAAAGCAAAAAGGTTCTACAATCTTTTGAAAGCAAAGTGAATAATTAGGAAAAGATGGACACAACAATATGGACTATTCCCACCTGAACTACTTATAAATCATCATTTGCTATTCTGTTTCCTTGGCAACTTCTTTCCTGTGGCAGGTAACAACAGTGTGTAACTTCTCTTCTGGGAAACATGATTAATCTGAAGCTTGAGGAAACCTTGTTTCAGGATCAATAACTGTCACAGTTCTCGAGGTCTTTATTAACTAAATGCAGTGTCTAAGCCATTAAGTCATGATCAATTCCGAGAAATATGTTCCCCGACTGAGGAATTCCTTGTTTTATTCTGAACTCGGAGTGAAATAGTAAATCAATTAAAATCCAATTACTGACCTCTAGAGTTCAGGGCTATGTCTTTGAGAGGCTGTGGTGCGTTACATGTTATCTTAATTCTCTATCACTTACTGAGACTTCTCTAGTCCAGAAAGCCACATTTACAATATTTTGCAGGTCTTCCTCATTACTTTCCCTACTACTGGTCTACTGAATCGAGAAACTACAGTTTTGAATTGCAAAACCGAAGTTCGGGAAGTCTTTTATCTGCTGAACAATATTTTCTCACAGTTGGGAAAAGGTTTAATACAAGAAACTATGCTTTTTGTTTTTTCTTGTCTTTTCCATTGACAGGCCTACAGAGAACATTTCACATGCCTGACACGCAGCAGGATGCATGCAGGTCTTATGATACAGTGGAAGATGACTACATTTCTCACTTTCACATTGCCTTCAATTTTCTGTATTCCCTTCAAGTAGGGTACTTTGTAAAACACACTTGATCCTTTCTCCTTGTGGAATTCCATGATGTGAATACACCCAATCAATTTTATATCGATATCTGAATAAATTTGGGCTTACTAACAGAATTAAGCTCTGGCCCTTCACATACATCACACTATCTTAGAATCTGTCACTGAGAGCCAGATCATGCTTAATAAAGCAATTCAAGGAATCTATTAGCTTTTTTCTGAGCTTCCTAAATGTAAAGGTCCACATCTTTTCAAACATGAGACAAAACAAAATCTGATTTTATAAATATCCCAAAACCTTAGCTTCTTTTAAAATACAACATTGTGTTGTACTCCTACACTCTCCCTACTTCCTTCTTCTCCTGTTCTTAACAAATTCCCTTGTTTCCCATCTGCATTGGTGAGGAATATCACTGAGGCAGATTATCTCTATACAAGCTGCCCACTGGGAGTTAAAAACAGATTCCTTGACCTCTCTGTAAACTAAATAGCACAGGAGAAAAACTATTCTAGAAACCCATGGTGCTTTTTAGATGGTTATGCTGCTTATCTATGGTGGCTACAGCAACAGTGGGGTTCATGTGAGAATACATGCCCTGCACTGCAGCACTTCACATACAAGTGGCCTGCAAAACTGCAGTCCTAACTGCTTTAGGACTAACTCCTTAATGCTTCTGAAAGGCCAAGCAAGGCTCTAGCAGTAGCCATGTTAGGGAGAGGATATACCCACACACAAAGAATGCAGTTAGAAGCAGAGTTACTCAGGTAGGAAAGAAATTCTCCTCTTTTCAGGCTCCGTAATTTCAGGAATTGCCTCTGAGTATAACAAGTACAACACTCTTGGTTGGAAAACATTATTTCATAAGGCTGTGTTTCTTCAATTTTGTACCACAGCAACCAGCACAAAGTGCCACTCTCCACAGTATCAGCATGTAAAAGGACCACAAGAGAATAAAAAATACATACCTGACAAAACATTGTCTCCTTACAGAAAAGCAAAATGTGTTTCTCATTAGCCAAAATTAATATTCTAATCCTAGCAATATCTGTCTGTGTACTTCACGCACAGAGTTAATTTTAAATTAACCATGTGAACAAACCTTGAAGGAGCAGGGATGAAATGTGTATGCAACACCATTTTGGTTTGCGCTGTACTGATACTTGTGCCTACCTTCTCCTTGATATTTACTGGAGAACTGATTTCTGCCATCTCTCCTCTTAAGAGAATGCTGTCTGTGAAAAGAAGAAAAAAGCAAATAAGATGATGTTTAATCCCAACCTGCCAAAGGTACACACATGTAAATTGTATTTAAGAATTGGAGCACCTTGAGAAAACTTACCTTTCCTGCTCAATCTTGTAAAAACAATCAAAAAACAACAAACAAAAAATAACATAGAACAACAAACCCCAAACAAGTTCAAATCTCACACTTTCTCCAGATTAGTTCTACGCATTCTAAAAATGCTTCACAAGTATGAACCAGGATGGGAGGTGTATCATACTTCTCCCATCCATGTTTATTGGAACCCATTCGTTATTACTTGATACCTTTGAGGTTCAAGGAAGAGGAATACCTTAGATGACTTCAACATCTGTTCTCCCATTCACCAGAAATCCTACTTTTGCCAGAAAACTTTTCTGAAGATCCCATCTTAAAAAGCTAAAAGTGCCATAAGGCAGAAAAGTACTGCATAGTTGATTCTTTTTTTTTTTTTCAAAACTAAATTAAAGGATTTAACCACGTGCTTCCTTATTAAAGCCAAAAAGGTCTGAATGGTTAAATCCCCAAGTCTGTTCTGAAAATTTAGGCACATAATGGAATTTGCATGTGATTAAGAAACCCTGCGATATCCTATTTCCAGTTACTCAGCCACATAACTGAGAGATATTACACCACATGATGAAGAATTAACAGAGAAAGGAGTCCACTTGCCTAACCCCATTTCCATCAAAACCAATTACCTTAGATTTCAATAAGAAACAAAACCTGAATCTTCACATTTTTAAATGAAGTCACACATGAAGAATCACAGAGAAGATTAAGCCAAATGATACAAAGGAGGCTAAGTTGCTAAGCTCAATTCCTTTGCACACAGATAAGAAAATACTGTCATACATAAATGACAGAGAATGAAATCTTAATTCTTTTCAACTTTTTAAGCTGAATCACTTCCTCCTTTTTTACCACTGAAGTCCTCTGCTGCTATGTAGACTGATAAGACTTCCCACAATTAATCTAGATCTCTTAAAGCACTTTAAAAAAAAACCAACACCTCCTCTAACTCCAGCTTTTGAACACAGCACTCTGGGGGTGTTCAAACTCCAAATGTTTCTATTACAGAACTTTATAACATGACATAAGTATTTTCACTTATTTTTCTATGCATATGTTTTCTAATTAAAATTATGAGGCTCAACGAATCACATTTTCAAACACAGCAAGACTTCATGGTAAACAGGAAAGGGAAAGCATTTTTGAGTTTCAGTCTGATGGAGAGTAGACATCACAAAAAGGGTGCCAGAAGAAAACAAAGGAACAAAAAAGAAGCCTTTATTAAAGTGTTATTGAAAAAACCCTGAAATTAAGGTTCCTTCTGCCCTCTGTGTCATGAACACATTTTACCTGTCTATATAAAGCACATACCTTTCATCTCAATGAAAGGTATGATGAAAGGTGGCTCAATGAGCTTACAAAAAAATGGCCCAAGTCTCACTACATATCTGGTAAGATTTCTTCCTGGCAACTGGGTCACTAATGCCTTAACACACTGAATAAAGCATTTCAGATTAGAAGACCCCCCACACTTCACTGTTGCTTTGTTGTTTTTGTTTTTAAAACCAAGAATCAAAGAGGTCGAATTAGTTTCTTTGTCAAGCCCATCCAATGACAGCAGAATCATAAGATGTCAGGAGAAAGCAGGCAGGAAGACTACGTAGAACGTGACCTTGGGATAACTCCATTTCCAATATTTAACATGTTAACTTAATGCAGTCTACTGTACCTATAATTTTTTGGGCTGGAGCACCTCTCCTACAAGGAAAAGTTGAGGGAACTGGGCTTGTTTAGTTTGGAGAAGAGCAGCTCTGGGGAAACCTCACTGTGGCCTTCCAGTACTTGAAGAGAGCATGTAAACAGGAGGGAGGAACGACTGCTCATGAGGGTAGACAGTGATAGGACAAGGGAGAATGGCTTTAAACTGCGACAGGGGAGGTTTAGGTTAGATATTAGTAAACTTTTCACATAGATGGTGGAGACACACTGGAACAGGTTGCTCAAGGAGGTTGTGGATGCCCCATCCCTGGAGGCACTCAAGGCCAGGCTGGATTTGGCTTTGGGCAGCCTGGTCTGGTGGTTGGTGACCCTGCCCTGGCAGGGGGGTGAAACTAGATGGTCATTATAGTCCTTTTCAGCCAAGGCCATTCTATGATTTTCCTGCTTCTCTTTTACTTCTGCTGTCAGCTGTTTCTTAAGCCAAATGGGCAAGGCAAAGAGCATGAGAAATAGGCCACCAAATTCCAGACTGAAAAACCTAGCTCTAAAAATCACTCTAACTCTTCATTATCCCTCATAGCTTTCCAGAAAACCATGCTTTCTGTTTATCAACATCAAGCTCTGTTTTGCACTGGTATTATTCGCTGATAATATGTTAATGAATAGTTATTTTACTTGCTCACCCTCATACCTATTATCTATCAGCTCCAGCAATACTACAGACAAATGAATGGAAGCCTGTTCTCTTGCGTGCACTCAAACCAACACATACATTATGAGAACAATAATAAAAAAAACACAGTATCAAGAGAAACAGATAAAAAATAGGAAAACTTGGGATGAACAGAATGTATCACAAAAGGAAAAATCAAAACAAGGTTAATATCTAACAAACCCCTCTGATCCTAAGAACTGTATTATATAAAACAAACACATAATGGGAAAATATCCATCACCTTAAATCTTCATGTTCTACTTTTCCAGCATACTGTACCAATTTTGAACCAAAACTGTACGTTGTAAAACTGCATCATGTATGAAGCAAATTAATTAGTTATCTTACTTAGTGAAAAACCCAAACCTGTCAGTTCATGTTAGTTTGAAGGTAGTAGCTAAATTATGCATCCAATTTAAATTAAATGTGCTGATTAAACCATGCAAGAGCAACACTTAGCCAAATTTAATCTTTGTAGCAATGCTCTGACCCACTTTAAAACAAGTCACACAACACCTTGCCAGAGTTGACTTGCCTCTCCTTTGCTGTGTGCTCCAGGTATTACTAGTTGTAGCTTTCCACTGACAAATGTGATGTTGGTTCAGCTGGCTTACAATTGCAAGCTGTATCAGAACTGGGCAAGCCACGCAAAACATACCCTCAAAAAAGAGGTATGTTTCTTTCCCTCTTCTTGCCCCCACTCATCCTCCACAAGATCGTGAACCAAGAAGGCATCAGCTTTTTGCAAATGGAGTCATTGCTCTACAGTTCAAACTTTTCATTAATATGCATATTATGACTGTCAAGATGAAGATGCTAAAATTGAGCTGGAGCTACTTTCCATTCACCCTCTACAAGGGCAGATATTGAAATAACCTGCATCAAACACTTGCTCCTTTATATAACTCACAGTCCAGCACTACAAGTTACATAAAATTCGAACTAATGCATTGAAATCTCAGTATAGCATTGATTTTTAAAAGTATCTTCTACCACTGTATTTAATAGCTAATTGGTTTTCTCATTGCAGCAAATCAGTTTATTGAATTGACTTCTCCCCCCAATTTTTTTAATCCCATATTGAAAAATTGCTGCATTACTAAATCCTATGAGGAAAGATTATAGTGCATGAATAATTTCATGCACAAAAATGGTCCCAATTAATTTTTAAAGCTTTTGCTGGAGGCTTGGATCTAAATTTGAACAGCTCCATTCTGATCTGTAATACTTTAGAGGAGGTTCTTCGTGCCTGAGCTATGCAACATCAGAATATGGCCCACAATTGCATTCTAAAGCTAGTGCAGTGCTGTGCATGTCAACAGGTGCACAAAAACATGGCTGCAGAAGTCTTTGCAGAAGATTTTCTGTTGTGCCTTAGTTTGTCAGTTAGCACAAGCATTGAACATATTACGTATAAAACATACTGTATAAAGGGTTCTCAAATGCTTTGTCTTGTGCTGTATCTCTTGCATATATTTGTGTTCTTAAAAAGTTAATGTACATCACAACAAGGCTTTTGTGAGGAAGGAATGACGAAAGAAACAGGATTCTGTAGTGTATTTAAACAGGTTGTTAATTTCTGACTGCAATTTCCAGATGTTTTCCCAGAATAGGAGAGAACTCTCAGTTACTTGTTACATCCTGAACTCAAATACTGATGGAAGTACATTATTTTATATCTATTACATACTTGCAGAGGAGATGGCATACCTTGCCTTGTAAACTGAAGCATTTCGATACAAGAAGAGAAAAATACAGTAGTGGCATTTTAAGGGAGTGCTGCAGAGAAGACTAGATTAAGTCTGCCAGAGCATATTTCTCTGCTCTACCAAATTAAGCAATTCATATTGCTCCTCACAGGTTTAAGCTAGGTTAAACTCAGCTGCAGCTAGCTGAAGTGCTGGCACATGCTCTGTCCTCCTGACATTACTGCAAGCAACAACCCCAGGGCAAGCAGTCAGGTACGGCCTTTAACCACTGCAGCACAACATGCTTGAGCTCACCTGTCACAGCCTGCTGGGTACATGGCTGCTTGCCCAGCCTTTATAGCCATTCCTTTTCTGCCCTCAAGCAGCTCCGAAGTCCCACTGTTGCTGTATTCAGCCTCCAAAGAACACCTGCCATCTTTCAGCCAGTACTGCCTCCTGGGATTTGTCACTCACAAAGCCAGGAAGGCCTTGGGGCAAAGCTGCCAGACTCCTTTCATGAAACATCCTGCATAGGTGGGGTTGCCTGCAATTCAGGCATCAGAGAATTGGGAAACAAGAGTCTGTGCCCCGTCCTGCTGCACAATTCCACTATTATCATCTGCTGCATTTAAACTTCAGATTTACAAACAGCATCAGAAAAAGCAAAAATATACTTTTCTCTCCTTCAACAAAGCCAAATAAAAGGAATAAGACTACAAATACATAGAAGGAAAGGGAAAATGAGCTTATGAAAGTGTCAGTGTTGCCAGATAGATAAAATCTGTAAAAACACCCCGGCAGTGAGCTCTATAGAACAGAGGAGTGTGACAGCTGTTC